AGATTCCTTCCCACAGGGCTGCTCACCAACCATTAAAAAACTCTGCTTTATCTACATCCACATTTGTGAGGTGACCATCCTCAATAACTATCAGACCAATGTTATCTCTGATCCTTTTGCAGTTAACATACTTTTATTGTCAGCTTCAACTCTAATTGAGCTTTGATTGCATGCATTTTCTCCCTGCAATAATGAATTGCATCTTTGTAGTCCTCCCAGGTCACCTGACTCCTCTTCTCTTCCTCTCCTCTTACTTTCCTTTCCTTCCCACCCCATTCTATATTTTGTAAATGTATCATTAATTTTTCCTGACAAAGGTAAAAGGAAATAGTTGTCTGCAATACCCATGTCCTTTACCATGTAGATGGCAGTAATGCTGCTGTCTTCTAGGGCTCTGCCCAAGTAACTAAGGAAGACCTTGCCACCTTTAGTCAGGTGCTTAATATTCAGCTTGCACTGACTGAGCTGCTGCAAGAGGAGGGTTATGAACTCTTGCACTTCCACAACTCAATTTCAAACAGACTTTTAGTGCCAGGAATCTTGCATAAAAGCTTGTTTACAGATTAGGAAAATGTAGTTGCTGCTGTGTCAAAATTTAACTGAACTCTACATATATCCCCAAGGTCCTACAATTCATCCAAATATAGACATGTAGGAATAAGGCAATTTTAATACAGATTTCTAGAAGAAAATTGTTTGAGCTTTATTGACTGGTTAGAAACACAAACTAAATGGCCAATTAATCCTGGAAAGCATCAGACACTTTATCACAACTGACTGCGATCTGATCAGCAAGATTGGACTCAGCACATTTCTACTGCATGTGCCCACTAGGTCTGAAGTCAGGGCTTGACACAATAGACTGGTCATTCCGGTGTACAGATCTGGATGCTTGCCTACCTCCTCGTCTCCTTCTCATTTCCTGAGAATAAACATAAACTGTAACAATATTTTTTTCCCCAGTTTCATCTAGATGGACTGACTTTTAACTGGAACAGAGCAGAAAAGACTTGCTTGCACAGCAACCCCCCGTCTTTACCTGTAAGGGAAGAACTAACAGCAACTGCTGGTACCACCTCTTTGCACGGAATAAAGACCCCTGGAAAAACACACCTTTGTACACTAGCTCTCCCCAAGCCCACAGAGCACTGAAAGATTGTAAGAAAACACACAGCCTGAAATCTGACGTGGAACTGTGTAAGTTACAGTACAAACCCAGCTGAAATTTGAGGGGAAAAACAGTTATAGACACACCCTTCCCCCTGTTTCCAGACGGGATAATAAGTTGTTTGTGATTTTGGACTTTGTTTTTCCACCTCTTTCTGAGATGCCCTTTGTCTGGCCTGCTTGTACTCCCAACAGCTAAATCAGGACCAGGACTATGTCTCACTTTGCATGCTACATCAGCATCTTAGTGCACTGGAGAGCTTCTTTTCGACTACAAGTTTGCCCTTGCACTTGGGGTCCTGTGACTTGCACTCAAAAGCATCGCTGGCACATGGAAAGCAGTTTTAATCCTTGTGGACATAAGGCTAATAATGCCAGGTATCATCTAAAGCTTTACATTTGCAATGTGAATAGTCCAGCACTGCTTCTCTACGCAGATGACGCACACCCAAGACCTTTGCTGACTCATGGGCCCAGAACCATATGGCATCATGCCTAATCAAACCCTGGTCTCTCCTTTGCATCACGAGGACATTCTATGTGTTTGTACAGCGCTTGGAACATTTTGATACAATTATGTAACATTTTGCAAAGATGTAATGTTCTCCAGGATCACAAAACTGAAGAAGAGCAGAAATAGGAGGTAGAAAAAAAAAAAAAAAAAAAAAAAAAAAAAAAGCAGAGAATTACTTGCAGTAGGCTGAGTACTTCATGAACTGATACAGAAATCCAAGACGCAAAATGTAACATTAAGCTAAATTCCAGCACTCATTACTCACCATGCTTCAGCAACATGAGTAAGTTATGTATGAAATAGGATACTTTTCTGTATGAGATATCCAGTATAACCTGGCCCATGCAGGAGGGATTTTCCATCCAAAAGGCAGAGAAGAATAAATGAGTGAAGAAAAAAGTAGAAAAAGATGTCAGCATATTGTCAAAAAATGACATACGAGTTCACTTTATAGGCACTCACCAAGGAAGCCAAAAGTCTATACTGTGCTAATGTAATCTCTCTGTGGTCACCAAAAGTTAATACTTATGAAAAAAAAAAAAAAAAAAAAAAAAAAATACACCGTTTGGAGCAAGCCCTAACCTGATAATGTCTTAGCATTTCCAACAACTAGACGTTTGCAGATTTCCTCTATGGCAGCCAGAATTCAGACGACCACACTCTGTCTCCATACATGAATATCCCTGAATGCATTTTTCTGATCCTTTTATGAATCTTTTCTACTTCTTGTATCCACAATATCCTACGGAAATGAAGTTCTGCCACTGACTCTTTGTTGTGGATTTAATTCTAAATTTGATCATTTTAATCAGTACCCTCTCATTTTTGTATTGTCAGAAACTGTGATTAACTGTACTTTGATTCTTTTTACAGAGCTAATATGCAATGCTTCCCTGGCATCCTGTTTGATTGCTGACATGCTATGTCCGGTTCATACAGCCATAAAGTTTTATTTCATATCCAATCAGTAATCACAAGCTTGTATTCTCTTTCACAATAAAAGAAAAACAACTATCATTATATCACATCTGTTTTCTCACTTCGAACAAGTGTTTAAGGCAACTCTGGAACTGCTCTCAAAATACCTCTTCCAACTTGTCACTCTGTAGTGCCAATAGCCATATAATGCAAATTATCTCGTATGTTTTTGGATGGAAGCCTGACAATAAATGCCAACCTGATTTTCTACAGTCCAGAGTATGCATATTCAGAAGTGGTTATAATATTTATAATGTTTTGTTAAATGTCAAATCTAAAAAGAAGGTTAATGTTGCCTTAAGAAGATCAGGTAAACAAGGTAGTCACTGTAGCACTTTTAGCCTACTTATCATGAGTTACTGGGCAATGTGATTTATTAGTAAGCAGGACAGAGCTTGTATATAACTCAGGAAACATTACTTTCAAGAAATTTTGACAAATCTGTATTAAAAACCCTTAGGGTCGTTTCAGGTTTTGTTGACAATTTTTCAAGAATTTGTGTAGTTTCTGCAGCTGCACATCATAGGATTTCCAGAACTGGTTGACTCAGACACACCCAAGTATTCTTGTAGGGTTCTGTTACTCACAAAGTGCTCTGCTAAAATGAGTTACGATTTGGCTACAGTCATTACTTACTTTGTTTTAACTATCTTCACATGCTTGAGATATTATCTTGGACTTGATACTGTTGGGCTTCCGAGCAGCATGAAGAAACCAAAGATTTGATCCTTCAAAGAGTTCATGACCTCAACACAGATATTCCCATTGACCTCAGTAAATCTTGATTCAGGCTAAATGTAAGGAACTCTATTGAGGACAACAGGAAAATCCAAACCTGAATTGGATGGATAACATGTTCTGTCTCTGTCCTTGTAATTTACTGCAACAGCACTACACTCAGATTGGGTAAAATCCTGACCTCGCTATTATCACTGACAAATCTGCTGCAGAAAATTTCACCAACACAGTATCACTGAAATATGTGCCTCACAAATCAGTCTTACTTGTGCTAGTTTTCCTAATTTGAGAGCAAGCTATCTATAAAGTCAGAATGTTTATTCTTTAAAAGTAATTACAAAAAGAAAGATGCAATGGCTGGAAAATACTGTATAAGCTCAGAAGTTTACATGGTTATTTCCAAATTTTTTTTCTAATATCTGATGCAATTTTTTTTAATGCTTGCAGCATAATTCTAAATTACTAACAGGGCACTTGTCTTTTTCAATTCTTTTTTTTTCCCTCTTTTTCCTTGAAATTCATAGCTGAAAATCAACGCAAACTCATTCAGCAATTACCCAGGAGAAAACTTCTATTTTGTAAAGTGACCACTGTGCTTTCAGGATCTCTCTGAAAACTTCCAACAATGTTCCACCCTTGGGCTTTTCCATCCTCCAATCCTTAGCTTGAAAGCTTGCATTCTCCCTAGCTGTCCCTTTTAAAATATGCCTTTCTAAAAACTGCACTGAAGTGAAAAATGTTCCAGAGGTTTTATTATTTTAAAAGGAAAGGTAGCTCTCCTGCTTTGATCCTGGCATCTTGAAGATTTTTTACATTTTGGCCAAAAATAGCATTAAAATAAACCAATTCCCACCTTCCTATGTTACAGCCAACAAACTGATTGCATTATTACTGGATAACATCACCTCTTTGGAATTAGGCTGCCAGCTGAGGTCTTATTATAGTAGTGAATTCACACAGCCACAGTTAGCACTGTCAGCATTTCTATTATAATAGCCTCTTCCTACTCCCACTCTTTTTCCTCAAAGGAATGAAATTTGGACTTAAAAATGAACTTAAGGTTAAATCACTGACAAGATGATCCCCAACCACCAGCCCGTGGCTTGTCATTTTAGCACATTTCTGACAAGTTGGAGTATTTTTTAATACAGGCCCAATCATACGTTCTTTCTGCATCCAGAACAAATGTGCATCCAGAGAATACAGCACTCAATCCCAGTACCTTCAATGGCTTGAGTTTCTTAACAAATGTGTTTTTAATAATCTCTTCATTTCAGGGAGCCGCTGCTTTTAGAGCTGTGCCTACAGAGTGCACAGAAAGATGCATTCTGCCACAGTTTCCATTCATAAACACACTTCAGAACACAGATGTCACACAGGCAGCATGTTTCTCAGAGGCACTGAACTGCCCGATGCAAAGGGTGTGAAATGCAACCAGTCAGGCTGCACCTGGGAAACAGGAAAACACGCTCACCATGAAAAACTTCTGCAGTGTATTCTAGCTGGGACATGCCCTGGGGACTCCATGGAAACCACACGCAGCTGCAACACGGCAGCCTGCATGCTGAGCACAGCCATCCACATGCTCCACACTGATGCTCACCTTCTTTCCTGACGCTGATTCCACATCTCTCCCCAGGTGCCCACATCTCTCTTCCCATCTGCTGAGCCATGTGTTTGCCCAAATGGATACTGAGGAACCAGCTTGGGCCTGCCACACCACACTGGGACAGGGAGGCTGAGGTGGGGACAAGGCAGAAGATCAGTCCCCAGCCTGCCCACCAGGCCTCAGAACCACGATGAGATTTGGGCTCTCCCTGAAAGACAACATGACACCAGCGGAGGACACAGCCAAGAACCAAGAGGCAGCTTTCACTCAGCCTTGGGCTCACCCAACTCAGCCCCTCTAAATCTCCTGGCGACCCCGGGGCACACAGCGCTCTGCCATCCCCTCCCGGCCCCGCAGCCCCTCGGAAGGTGGCCACGACGCGGGCACTTACGTTGAGGCGGCCGCCGTCGGAGCGCTGCGGGCTGCACACTGTGGTGCCGTCGGGGCTCTCACGCGGCAAGGAAAGGGTTGGGGGAGACCATTTCGCTGTTGGAAGGGTGAATTTGTGCTCCGACAAAGTCGTCGGATTATTCCGAAAGAATAAAAATACATTGTGCAGGAGATGAGGGGGGCTGGGAAGGTAAGGATGTGTGACTCGGGGGGGACCCGGCCCGGCCCGGCCCAGCCCGCGGTGCCCGGAGAAGGAGCGGCCGCGCCGTGCCCGCTTCCCACTCGGCTCTCTGATCCGCTAATCAGCGGCAGCCGCGGGCCGCCGTGAGTCACCCCCGGCCGCGGCAGCATCAGTCTTTGCCGCGGCGTTGGCAGCCAGACGAGCCGCGGCGCAGAGCCGCCGCTGTCCTCGGATGAACCCGGCGGGGCTGCCAGCGCCAGTCGAGCGCTTTGCGAGGCGAGAGCCGGGTCCCTGCCGGCGCGGCGGCGTGCGGCACCTCTTCGGCGGGGCTGGCGGCGACGGGGCGGGGGGCGGGAGCGGCGGGGGGGGGGGGGGGGGGCCGAGCCCCTCGGCGGCCGGGCCGGAAAGGTAAGCGTGGATGGAGTAAGGAAGGGGGAGGGAAGACGGTCAGCGAGAGGGCACGGAGCGGCGGGCAAGGGGCCGCCCGGCTCCGAAGGGAGGGACTGCGGCCTCTTCGGGATGCGGGAAGGGGTGGGCACGGATTGGGAGGTGAGAGGAGGAGACCCCCTCCGTGCACTGGGGATCTCCCGACAGCGGGGATGCTCGTGGCAATGCCTCCCTCATCTCTACCCTGTTGAAAAGAAAAAAAGCCAGCAGCCTCTGCCCCACTGCGCAAACAGGCTGCTTTTCTCGGGCTAAAGGCGTACCGCTGCCCCTTATCGCCCCGCTCCCGGCAGCTGCGGGTGGTGGCAGCGCAGCGAAGCAGCTGCTGGCAGCTGTCGGCGATGTCTCGAAAGCCGCGGGCAGGGTCACGGCCGGCTCCCACATGCGGCGCGACCCGGGGGGCATCGCATTCCCCGGCCTCTCTCTCCGGCCCCACCTCTCCTATGGGAGCTAGCTTCATTTCTCCGTCCTGCGCCCTCCCTATCCCCGTAGCTGCAAAGGACCGCTCCCTAAGGACAGGGCAGGATGCCCGTGCTAAAGATGAGGAGGAGGCAAGGGGAAAATGCGAGCCCCTTTCCTCCCCCCCCCCCCCCCCCCCCCCCCCCGGACGGGCGACCTCCCCCCAAAACCTGTCTCGGGTGGCCCCAGCTCCGCGCTTCTCTCTGGGCTTTCTGCGAACCTCGGAGAACTCCCGGCCCTGCTCACCGAGATGGGGTCCGGTGGGGCGAGAGAGCCGTGCCCATCCCCCCTTCCCCCAAGGAGCCGCGCATCACGGAGAAGTGCCCGGGGAAGGATTTTTAGGGGATTTCTCCTTTCAGGGAAGTTGGAGGGGAGCGGCGGGTAGATCAGAGCCCCTCTTTGCCTGGGAAAGAGTCCTTTCCGCTCCACCAGGGCGGTGCAGCAGGTGCCGCCGGGCCCCTTCGCTTCTTCCCCGCTCCGCTCGTAAGAACAGAGCCCGAGAAAACTCAGGGACAGCACCTTAACAGCCGTCATAATTAAAAACAACAACACCAAAAAACCCTTCTGCCTGGCCTTAATGATCCTTTACACACATTCCCCGCCCGCTCCCTCCCCCGTCCCCCCGTGAAGGGCAGTGATTATTCGCACTCCTCTGCTCGCCGAGAGCGCAGCCCGATGAAAGGACTTTCCTCGCGTGACTCCACCGCTCGCTCCTCCCCCCCCCCCCTTCTCCTCCTCCCCCCGCAGCCTGCCAGCCGCCTCGCTTCGCTCTCAGCCCTAATTGGGCTCTTGCTAATATGATTAAAGCCCAGTTAAATGTTTCTTGATAAATCTTGTCAAGAGAGGATCCCCCCCATCCCCTCCCCTCTCTCTGTCGCTTGTCAGAAGCCCGGTTACAGACGGGACATGCCCGGCTCCCGCTGTTCGTGCTCTGGTGGGAAGTTGGCATTTCACAATTGTTCCTTTAACGGGGCTGTTTTGGAACCGCTCCTGGGGATTGTTCCTCTTCAGGCCAGGCTCGCTGATAAGAACCGCCCGTGGCTTTTATGTAACACGTTAGGATTTGGTCCCGCTCTCAAAATCGCACTGTTTCTTTGGCCTTTTCTCTTTCATTTCCCCACCCCCACCCGTCGGAGAGCTGTCGGGAGCCCGTTCCCGGAAAGGCTCTCTCGATACGATCTCCGTGGCACAGCCCGGCGGAGCGCAACGCTGCGGGCGGACTCCGCTCCCCGCCGCCTACGGGGGCTGCCCCGCTCCTTTTCGGGAGCCCTCCCCAAGGCTGTCCCGTTGGTGCCAGCAGCTCCGGCACCCCGCAAGTGTTAGGAGCTTCACCTGCATCTGCTTTCTTCTTGTTTCAATATAATTAAGCTCTGGGGGTGAAACCCTACCAGACCCCGTTGTCAGTAGGGGAATCTGGTTAAACTCGAAGGAATTAGGAACGAGCGGACGATGGTGGAGGGCGAGGGGGTTCCTGGCAGCCTGACCCCCCGCTGGCTGAAAGCCGGCTCGCCTCTCCTCGCCGTTTGGGGGCAGCTCGTGGGGTGTGCTGGTGGTTCGCTCTCTTTTATGTTTTCTGTTTTCTTTGGGAGTGCTGAGCTTCGAGGGCGTTTTGTTGTTCTTTCTTCAGCGTTACTGAACTGAGGGTCCCGGTGGGTGAAAGAGGAGGATTATTTAGTTGTTTAGAGGTCCCCACGGGCTGGCGGCTCGTCGGTGCATTTCCCGATAGCCTGATGGTACCCAGGCTCCAGACCACATGTCTCGGTGACCCCGCAACCTTGCCACAGCCCCGCGTCACCCCACGCACCGCAGTCCTCTGTGGGAACCGAGGGTGCGGGCCGCCGGGGAACGCGGACTCGCTGCCTCTGTTCCCCGCTCCGAGGAGGAGGAGGCGGGTTCGAATACACGCTCGCACCCGTTGCGAGCCCACAGACTGCTGCGGGGCAGGACACGGGCTGCACCGCCGGTGCGGGAGAAAGGACCGAGAGCGAAGCGCAGGGGCCAAAACCGAACAAACGAAAAAATCAACACCGGCCCACGGGAGCGCAGCTTCAGCGACCGTGCCCGTTCCCTGGGCAAAGAGAAGCCCGAGGCGAGGCTCAGCACGGGAATCTGTCGGCCGCTGAAGCCGGGGAAACAGGCAGAACCCCGGGCGGGGCGGGCAGAGATGGGGGGTCTGCCGGGCTGCTTCGACCCGGCACAGCGTCGCCCCCTTCGGCCGAGGTCCCAGCAGCGGTTTGCGGATGGTTCCCTCTTCCCCTCCCCTTTCCTCCTTCCCTGTCATATCCCCCCCCGACCCGCCCCGAGGGGTCTGGGTTTGTGCAAGACCACAGAGCTGTGGCCCCTTCGCCCGGGACTGTTGGTTTACTCGAGGAGAGTCCCAAATAAGAAGCTGTTTGTACTCGAGCTGGAACGCTGGAGGCTTTCTAAGAATGGCTCTTTTCTTACTCTTTTTTTTTTTTTTTTTTTTTTTTTTTTTTTTTTAATTTTATTTTATTTTTATTGGTACATGGAACCAGCCTACAGCATTGCTGGCGCCTTTCCACCAGGTGCCTGGGGCTCAGAGGAAAATGCAAATGAATCTTAAAATTATGAGAAAATTTCCCTCCCTTCCTCCCAAATAAAATAATTATAAGAGAAAGAATTGGTAAGAACGGATGAAGAAGGGACTGAAAATGGAAACAGAAAAGCAGCTTCACCCCACCAGAGCAGGGGGGACCCAGAAAGGCCTTCCATAAGCAGAAAGTTGTCCAAGCAGCTGGAAGATGGTTTGTGTACCAGCCTCTGAGGTGTGGTTACCACCCACAGCAAGGGACTTGACCCCTTGGTCCAAAACATCCTTCCTAAGCCTCTTCCCATAAAACAGCTTGTCTTTCCATACACCAAAAAAAAATTCAAAGTACATTGCACACATTAAACTGTCGTGCTTCACACCACACTTGTAGGCATGGCTCTATATTCCCATTCTACACAGAATAAACGGGTTTGTTCACACTTGTGTCACACTTGGAGCTGGGGGCATGCACTTGGTTAGGACACACAGTGCATGCCCACCCTGCACTGCTCCGCTCACTGAGGTCCCAAATGAGATGGGGCTGTTAGGAGCTGTGAGGCTGTTACATGCAGACATGAGAGGCTGCTCTGCAAGGTTCAGGAAATACCCGTTCTGGATGTTGTTTTAAAGCTGAGTATACAGTCTCAGGAAAAATACCTAGAACTGGAGGTTTTAGGTTTTGGACTCCCTGTGTTTGACTGCTGTAATTGCTTGACTAAACTCCAGTTAGCCTCCATAGGCAGCCTCCGCTACTCTTAGAGGAATCTAGCTGAACTGACTGTGGGATTTCCTGCTCACCTGATTTACAAATCCATCACTGTCCTTCTGAATAAATGAACGACTTAGATGTAGACAGAAAAACCTAGACTCGAATCTACTTGCTTTTCTTATGCAAATCTTCTCACAGGATTACAAGGGAAAGCAAACAGCAGCTCCAGCCTTAAGATCTTTTTTTTTCTTTTAAGAAGCAGCCTGTTGTATAAATCTGTAACAGAAACCGTTTCCATTTGAAGATCAAATAGAAGTTATCTACTGAAGCTGACAAACAGGGGCAGAATAATCTGTTTGCATTTTTGGGAAATGGATAGCTCTGGTTTTGTTTCAAGACAAGTAACTTTTAAACAATATTTAACGAAATAATTGACCTTGATGTTTAAACTACAACTTCCTTCACGTCATTAAGCCCACTGCTGGTTTTTTTTTTTGTTGTTGTTGGGTTTTTTTTTGTTTGTTTTTTTTTTTTTAATGTTTAGTATTTGAACTCTGGCATTCATTCTGCTAATCCCATAATAACATTTGTTTCTAGTGGAATTTTATTTGATGAACTCATCGGTAAAAGAGGAGAGAAAGAGTTCAGAACAACAGGAGCTTTACAGCTCATTTATATTTTCTCCTCTCTGAAAGATAGCAAAAAGACATATGCAAAATGACTTTTCAGGAATAACTTTGCAGATGGAAGGAACAAGGAGAAGCTTTATGCAGCTTTATATAGAGCTTTAGGAAAATCTGTGCTCTTTTAACATACATTCTAACTTTCAGAACACACTGCAATCCTTGACTGAAAATAATTATTTGGGGAATTTGTCTTCGTGATAATTAGGATCTGAGTCCGCTTTTGAAATGTAAGAAAAATGGAAATAACTCCATAAAGTGTATCTATCGCATAAAGCTTTTAGGACAGCCTGATTCACAATGTATCCTGCTCTTTGTTCAGCTGACAGATTTCCAGCAGCCGAAAGAGGCACATATCTGGGGGCTGCCATTATCTAAGCTAAATATGTACATTTTGGATCAGTTCTATTTTATTTGAATACTCACAACTTCTGCTAGGAGATCATAAGCATGAAAGGACCGCAGAGATGTGCATTTTATTAGCTATCCATCAGCCTTTGTGCACGAACAAAGGTACATAAACATACACATTTTCTGAGCTCTCAGCTCAGCAAGACTTTAGACAGTACATGCAGTAAGATTTCAAATAAAAACAAACAAGCAATCAAACAGCAAATACACTGCCATGCAAAAAATCAAGCACATAATTTGGGGGAGGGGAGAGCACTAAAGCAATAAATGAACACAAAGAATTTAGACTAATTTTTATTTGACTGTTAATGAAAAATACTATGGCAGCAGAGGGTTATTTAAGTTACAGGATCCTGGAATTACAAAACACTGATATCTACCTAAATGCTGATGTGTACCCTTGCACGTAATGTACTCATACACAGATAAAAACTCTTCCTTTATCCCTGCTGGCACAAATTTCATCCTTTCAATATGTGGACATATGAGGAATCAGGTTGCTTTACTCTCAACAAAGGGCACCTATCTACCATTTGAAGCACTTAAAAATATTTGAATTCCCTCCCCAGTGCACAAACAGCCAACTCAATAACTATTGCAGGCTCAGGATCTAGAGAACACGATGGTGTTACGCAATGGGAGGTGTGACGTTATCTGGTGATCTGAGCAGGGTCATGCTGATCATGGGACAATGCAAATTCCATGTCAGGCATCATGCTGATACAGGTTGTCTACAGCTTCACCCGAATGACAAGCAACGCAGGCAGGCTTGAATTAAATGGCAGTCATTTCCCATCTCGGCTCTTGCTCCCCTATTGCAGAATGGGTGCGTCAGTTCATCCCTGAGCAGCCTTTCAGTCTCCTGCCCATCCCGTTGACCCCACGCTCTCATCACCAACTGACTGACTTACAAACCACCTGCGTCTGACACAAGAGCATCACCCACACCGGGAGAGAAGGTGTATGCTTGTAGGAGGTGTAGCTACTGAGTAGTATCTCTCACCCTCATTCTACAATCTTGTGCTGTGGCTGAACACCAGCAAGTGAAGGGAGGAAGCATTGCCATCGATATGGGGGTAAGGTACAGCCTCCCCATCCATGCTGGCAGCTCCTACTGCTCACAGAGCAATTAATATATGTGCTTATGCCACTTCTGCTCTTCACTTTTACAGGGAACTCAAGCATGGCACCTGGGATGGCAATTCCTGACCACAGACACTGCAAAAGAGCACTAATTGTCCTTTACACACAGTTACCCATAGAGACTGATGGTCCCATATTTTTTCTTTTTTGCTTCAAAATCGTGAATTATAGTGGAAAACACATCACAGCATCTCTTTTCAGTGAACTGAGTACTGCCCCCTCTATAAGTTAGACCAAACCCACGACCGCTCTGTTTTGTGACACGCAGCTAACACCCAGCTGCCACGTCTTTTCCTGACAATTGAACACAGCCTGCAACATTCTGTCAGTGGCAGGAGATGGCATTTCAGACACACTGGGTAAACATGCCTGTGCCATCTTCTGCTACACTGACAGTGATTTGTGAGGAACCCACCCAGCACATTGCCTCAGCCAGGGACTAAGCTGTGTCTCCTTGGCACAGGCTTTAAGCAAGGAGCCGTGCAAAACCAGGCTTTGTTGTGAGAATGAATACACCACTTTTCCCTGTTCCCCTGATGATTCTCTTGTCCCTGAGGATGATTTACCTTCTGACTGTGCTGCTCCTTGGGAAATTCTCCCCAGTACTCTTACCAACATCCCCTTACAGATCAGGGAATCAGCAACAGTGATTGTATCATAAATCTCATCAGTGTCCAGCTGTCTTGTTTTAGGATCTTCTGTCCTAAAAGCCTTTTCCGATCTGATACATGGATTCTTTGTAAACTCTGCTGAATGGAGCTGCTATGGAGCATTTCTGTATATTGAAAAAAAAAAAAAAAAAAAAAAAAAAAAAGGAATACTTCCCCGTGTATACCAGTATCAAATTCAGTGGTTCCTGTGGAGATGTAGCTGTAGATGCCCCTGTTTACTGCAGGGAAGTTGGACTAGATGAGCTTTAAAGGTCTCCTCCAACTCCAGCAATTCTATGATGATAACTCTATGATGATTATATGATTATATGAGATCATGACAGTCAAATTGTAAAGATGTTCAGGGTCTGCCCATAGAGAATATGCAAGTGCCTCACTTACTGCTGTTTCCCAGGGTTAAACAATATCTATCTGGATGCATTCCCTTACTCTTTTCTCCCAACACACCTTTGGCTCCGTAGCAGTGCCCTCGGGAAGCAGAGACCATTCTGCAAATGCTGATGGTGTGAATACACATAGGATTAAGGCTGCTAGCCGCAACGGCATGTCACTTCTGCCTGCAGCTTACTAAAGCAAAAAAGTCTTGTGGCTGACATGTCCTCCACTTCACTGGGTTACATGACACTTGCCAGAGAATGTGTCAACCCACTCCCCATCTCCTCAGCATTATTAGCCCAGGGAAGGAAATGCAGCCAAAGAACTCACATGCAACTTTGACAGGTTCTGCCTAATCCGCCCACATAATGACCTTTCTTATGCTAAGTGCCAGAGCGGTGCGAGGAGACCATTGCCTGTATCAGCTGCTGGAGAGTCAAAGTTAGTTTCATGGTTATGTTTAAGCGAGAGCCTGACCTTACGTTAAGAAGTCTTTGTCTCCCGCAGTGCAGCACTCAGAGAATGACATCAAAAGCCTTCCTAATTCACACACCCGGGTCATTTGATTGTAGGCAAGGCACAGAGCCGTGCTGCCCCAGCAGCCTGTGAGCCACAATGACATCCATGACTATCCTCTTATTCCATGGAAGGAAGTAATGTGCTCGGAGCGTAACACAACCAACAGTAGATTACATCCTTCCTCATGTCAGCTTAGCCCCGCTGGCTGTTGGGGGAGGCACTGGCCAGGCAAACACAGCCTCCCACTTCCCAGTTTCACTTCTCCCCACCCCATCCTCAGGGAGCTGGGCCTCCCCAGGCTGGGACGTGCCATGTGGCAACCACACGAGAAGGTTCTGCTCCACCAGACAAGGAAGAGGACGTTCCCACTCTTCTCCAGTGTGGCAGAATTACGCCACATGCTGAAACATCAGACTCTCCTCCAACAAGACAAGCGTAACTGATCATGGAGATGTATCTTCTCCTCCCTTGGCATGTGTCTGTGCAATTAGTCTATCTGTTTTTGATTTATTTATTTTCAGTCTGCCTTCTGCACCCTTTCTCGGGTACATGGGGCACACAACAGACTTGCCCTTGGACTACACAGAAATAAAATCAGAAACAGACTAACCACATGAATCAATACCAAGGGAAACAAAACACATGATTGGATGCTGCAGTTCCCTCAGAGATCCATCTGTCTTCAGATGTGATATAACAGCAGTCATGTACCACATTTGCAAAGGAGGCAACACATCCCTCCCCATAGCCTGCCTTGTAGGGTGAAACTCTGATAGCTCAGAGAAGCCAAGGCATTTCTAAAATCTGGTCTGTATTCACAAAGGTAAAGCAATTGCTTCCTATTCTGAAGTGACTACTGTCAGTGCTATCGTTGCTTTCTGGAATTTAGACTTGAATTTGACAGAAGTTCGGATGGAAAGACACACGCAGAACCACTTGTGAGAATCAGCGTGTCTGTGGGCATAGGCCAGTCCTTTCCTGAGCAAATCCCTGCCACTAAGAGCTGCTGGTAAAGGAGAGACACAGATGGCAGTCAGACTTGCTGTGTAGGCTCATACCTCCAAGGCAAGGCTATTAAAGAATACAATTCACCATTCTTCCTGCAAATAGACAGTACTGCATAATGAACCATACCTCCTAGTGCCATTAAAATGCATGTATTATATTCTGTAACTGTTTCTTGTTTGAGTCCCAGAAGCAGTGTTGTTGCCTGGGAGGGAGTATCAAGACATTAATCAAAAATAGATGTGCAGTACAAGAAATGAGGGCCAAGCAGATGAGTATATATAGCTTCCGCATACTCAGAACGTAGGAGCTGTCTGAAAACACTGTGATTAGAGTCAATGTGCTTGATACAGCACCACAGACATTGTACACAGCTGTCAATCCTATACTGAACATCTTATTTTATACCCCGTGGTTCTGCAGCCCCTCATCGGGTGAATGATGCAAAGGTGCCATTCACTTGGCAGAACAGACAATGGAGAAATCCTCCAGACAGAACCCTCTATTTGTTTCTGGTTAGGGAGAATAAATTTTTCCTTCTTTTAGCATCAACAGAAATACAGATGCAAAAGCAAGACCTGGATAAATGAGACAAGTATTGTTCCTTCAAGCAGAATGTCCTGACTTCAAGACAGGTGAGTACTACTAAACTTTCAAAATGTTTCGTTGCCCTCCAGATAGATCATACATCTGACTTCTCTCCTTCTGAGAAACTTTCCAGCACTTTAAGCTGTCACAGAAGCAAGCTGAAGTTAGTCTGGAGAAAAAGAAATAAGAGGGAGGGAAAAGAAAAAAGAAACAGAGGAAGGAGAGGAAAAAAAAAAAAAAAAAAAAAAAAAGAGGATGCCCTAAATTCCATTGTCAACTTCTCAGATACAGCCACAGAATTTTGCATATCTGCATGAAGACTTTGCCTGCATGAGTTAGCAAGAACTTGGTGCAGCTGCATAAACAGCAGATTTCTACACCTACAGGCCTTCATTTATTTCCTCCAGTGAGATTTTAGATTTGATTGGCAGCTGGCCTATCTGAGCAGCTGATAAGAGAAGAAAAAAAAAAATGACACTCCAGTCTTTATATCTCCGTAGCCTTTCCTCTGGTTCTCATGGTAGAAGTGTACAGAGAATTAAAGAGCTCTCAATACATTTGTAGCCAAATATTTACCCTAAGCGAGGTAGATTATATTTGCTTACTGTATCCACATTGCCACGCTGGCACACATTCAAGACTAACTCCTTGTGGTACTATTGAATACCTTGGAAAAAAACCACCATTGTTTACAACAAACCATTCGCCAATGACTGCAGGTTTTGTGTTGTCCAGGGTATATGAGCTCTTGAGCTCACATGTCCGACACTTTGTCTAGTGCCACAGACACAGCCCCAGGGATGGTCCTGCAGGTGGCTGGTTTACCTGAGTCCTTTGCAGGATTATTAAGAGTATTTTGAAATTCTCTCAGGCCTTTCACTGAGGGCGAATGTAATTAAGCCGTGTTCAGAGGGAATTTATTCCTTCAGAAGATACAGCTTGTTCTCAATCAGCGTGCCTTTTTGAGAGCATACTTATTTTGACAACATTTTAATGAGACAAATTCAAATGCCGTTTACATTCATTGACAGTAATAGCACTGTTTTCTAAAGTAAAAACATTTTAGTATCCCTTGCTTCATTTCAGTTTGTTTTGAACTTCATAGCGTATATTTAACATAAACATACACTTTAACCTCTTTCCCTATTAAATTAAATATTTTAATGACATTATAACTTCCAGACTTTCTGATGTGTGAACTATTTGATTTTTTTGGAACACTTCCATCATACCAAATAATTTTTTTTTCTGAATTTTCATTCTGTGAAAACTTCAGCACCTTTACTTCTTTTCCCACATAATGGAAATACTGTTTCCTGACCAGCTCTGCTAAAATTTCTTGCTCTATCTAAAAAAGAAAGGGGGAAGGGTGTCACAGATACAGAACTGTAAACTCCTCAGGATACATTTCTCATTGTTGGCTCATATGTTGCCCTCTTTTGGTAGCTTTTGTACTGTACTACACATAAAAATCTTAACATTGCTGTAGCAGCTCTGCATTCTAAAGGGCCCGAGTGCTGAACGTTAGAGCTAAATTACTGTGTGAGAAGAATAATAGGTTGCAAGTTAATTACTTGAACCATCTTACAGAGGCATCCTATCCAGACAGAAAAATAAATAAGGGATGAATGAAGCGGCGCAATATAAAACTGGACAGTAACAGGCACGAAGAAAGAAGCAAAAGGAGAAAATGTAGATATTCACTCACGTAAATGATTTAACCCCATTTCCTGACTTCCATCCAGTGAAGACAAAGTCAGCTTTGAAGCATGTGGTCAATCAACATTTGTAAAGGGAAGTTCTACTCTAATCATCATTCACTTACTCTTTCCCACTTGCTTTTTTTCCTAACCTATGTAGGGATTTTATTAAATTCTTGTGGATACTGACTAGTCAAGCCCAGAAGAGCGTCTCCAAACTTTCCAAGACTAAATCCCTGCCATAGCCAACACTTCTTTTCACTATTAAATTTCTTACACTAAATATTAGGCGTTCTTTTACACAAAATTAATTGCTAATCCTAATTATGAAACCATCAGATATTAACTACATTGGAATTCTAAAATCATTATTTGAGTGAAACACCGAAGTATCACTTATTTTTCAGAAAGGAGTTTTTTCTTCTGTTTCTGAGGAAAAAGTAATAAATAAATAAATAACAATTCAGTTTGTCACAAAAGTTTAAGTGGCTGGGTATTCACCTTCTTTTGGCTTTCAGTAAGAGCTGAGTACTAATTCCGCCAAAATGCCATTCTTTGAGAACAGGCTGCTCTCTACTCCAGATAATTCTCCGTTACAAGAACAATAAAAGGTTACACAGAAGAGATATTCCCAGCATATTTGCGATTTCACAGCTCTATTCTTTAAAGACTAATTTTCGTTGGTCTGAAAATCAGCATCAGGAATTCAGTCTGACAGGAATTCTTTTATAAACAGTCACAGAGATGATTTCAGAGGTCATAAAGCAGACATTCTTCCCACCTTGAATTGTGGAGTATTTGTAGCAACTTCATATGATCAGAAATTCTTGGAATCAGGAAGCACTCCCAGCATTCCAACATAAAGACATAATGCTATTCTTCATAGGCATTCTCTGCTGCTTTATTCAAATCTATCCCAAAACCCCCAGCAGTCTGAATTCCCCCTAGAGGAATATCTGACAATCTTCCCGTTCTCACCTTTAAACAATTCACACCCAAGAGGCTTCATTTTGCTGACTTCATCCCTTCCAGCTAAACAATGCCGGCTGGTTTAAACCTCCTTTGCAGACCTTTGTTCCAGGGGTAAGAAACAGCCCAGCTTTATAGAAATACATGCCTTCCTGCTGATTTCTATGCAGACAATAATGTGCCTTTCAGTGTCAGGGGCATGTCACCTTCCCTGACAAGTCTGTCCAAGCTGTTGTTGCAGTCTATTGAAGTGCTTAAGTATGTGCCCCGTTTAAGCTGATATGTGGTTCCTTTGTTAAAGTCACCTAGCAGGGCTATAAAGGGAGTTGAAAGTCACCAGTACAGCTCATGTACTTAGTTAAGTTTATACTTAATGGCATGCTGGGTTTCTGCTTCAGTCTTTCCTCCAAAGTGATTTTTCCACCCTTTGAATTGCTGTGGGATTTCTTCCAAGTCCTTCCAGTCAGTCAGTGGCTGGCAATATTGAACACAGACTAGAACTAATAACACAGAGCTTTACAAGTGAACTATTACCTCTCTACTTCATGACATATGCCTGTATGTGCATGGCTTTTACAATACTACAACTTCATGTATCATTTCCATCTGATCTGCTGTCCACTGTGCCCTGAAACCTATCAGCAATAGTGATAGCTAGGACAAATAGACTCCAGCTTCCTTCATTTCCTCCTCTTTTTCTTTCCCCTTCCTGTTCCTTTCTGTTTCCTTCCCCTTTTCCCTTCCTTTTCTCCTCCTTTTCCTATCTTCCCCTCCTCTTTCTTTCTTTTCATGAGTTGTTTGGGAGCTGTTTTCTTTTGCACGCAGCTTTCTAATATCCAGCGGTGCTTTGATATCATTTATCTGCTGTCTTCTGTTTACATTCCTTCCTGCTTTAGTATCATCAGCACATTTCACTATTGTGCTGTTTACCTCTACTTTGAGATTACCAATGGAGATATTAAACAGAATGATGTCTGTCAAAAGTCCCTGCCATGACCCACAAGACATTTCTAAAAGCTACGATAACACAGCAAGTGATCGTTACCCTTTGTTTACATTCTTTCTCCCATTTCAGTCTACACAGCAGTGCTCCCCGCCAAAACAATTAAAGTTATTTTTCTCAACGTGAGTACCCAAAACAGTAGCAAATGGCATATTGAGTAGACCCTGTATCCACTGTCCCATCTTCCCATCCAGTCTGTCTCTCAATACATTTACTGTGCATATTGCTCAGTTTGCTGTGTGCCACACTGAGTGCAGCCTAAAGCCTTGGTTCTCAAATCTGCAACATACAGAATGTGCAATGTTTATACTAATGTGAAAGGTACATTTAATAAGCTTTATTCTTTCTGACTCTGTGCTGCTTTCTGTTCTGATACTGTTTGTCTCAACGCTTCCATGAAATTGGTGGATGTTTTAGCTGTATGAAATAAGTAGCATTTGGCCTAAAATGTTTAAAACATTTTCCTTGATTTACAGCTTTTGAGGCCAGAGAGGACCATTCGCTAATCCTGTCTGACCTCTTCTGTGTCACAGACTATAACATTGCATCATTCTCCATACACCAAGCTCAGGAATTTCTGTTTGGCTAACATGCATTCCCCAGAAATACATCCAGTTTTGATAGGTACACTAACACTTTCTTGAGCAGCTTCTTTCAGCAGTTCATCACACTTAGTGCTACAGTTCCAAGCCTCATTACTTAAAATTTCTTGACTTACATTTCCACCCACTGATTCTTGCAATATATTCATATGAGCTAAGACACTTTTTTTTGTTGTGAAGGTAATTACACAATGTAATCCAGCTATCTCACTTCAATAAAGGAAATAATGCATATTTTCCAGTCTACAAGCAGTGCTTATATTTTTCTTACTCTTTCCCAAATTTCCAGCACCCACAGCAGTGTAATACACTATTGCCATATAGTCATTATTATCTACAACTCAAACATCCCTACTAACTTATTCAAAGATAATATTAATTCTCCTTAGTGTCATCAGACTAAATCCTGTTTCCAGTTGTTTCCCACAGTGGTACCCAATATTTCATGTACCACCCTTGGGATATAGCTTCTGGTGCATCAATACCACCATTCATTACTTAAAATTCATCTTGCTTGCAGAAGTCCAGCCCAAAAAATTTGGGCTGCTCCAACTTCATAATTTATTATTCCACCAAATTTATATTTCCTCCTTAGTTGACTCGTCTTGTTTCACTAGGGATGGATTTGTGTCTCAATCATTAAGGAAAATTTTATGCAGGATGATTCTGGAGCTTTCATTCAGAGCTGGTAGTGACTTATTAGCATCCATCAGTTAGTCAGTTCTTAATCTGTTTGGCTATTGCAGAGCACTCATTTTTCTAAGTGCCTAAGCAGAAAAGGCAAACAAGGGTATTTGAACGCTAAAAGAATAGACTTAGAACATAAATCCTGCAAAGTGTTAAAGAGCTTAATCCTCACTGGTGCCTAAATGTTTATAAGCATGTGGATTTATGAGACTGGCTTTAGGTCCACTGTTAGGAAATCTCATGCCTTGTATATTTTTCTGTTAATATTAGTTTCTCTTATCTTTGAAAGACAAAACTCCAAAATCATGGCTATTGAAGGGACCATAGTAGCTTTGTGTTTTTGTTTTTTTTTTTCCTAGTCACACATAGCTTTCCTTTTGCTCCTCTGCATCCCCATAGGTAACTATTGTTTTTTCCAGAAATACTTGGCAATGGCAGTGTAAATCTGCTAGATAATATTTGTAATATCACTGTGTGCAGATTATGCCTTTTTAGCAATCCTCATACATACATTCAGATATCCTAAGTATTCCCTCATCTGTTTCTATCAATAGGATTTATTTATTCGTGCCACAGTGTTTCTTTCTTGTTAATTGCTTCAAGTTATTTTATGTAATTAAAGACAGATGGTAAAGCAAAGTTCAGTATCTCATCCATTTGTTAATCAGTGGCTTATGCAGCGCTATAAATGTAGCAGGGATGTTATGATGTTGTTTTTTCATGTCCTGTGCTTTAAATTAAATACTGGGACCAATTCCTATTTACACTGAAGCCAATAACAAAAACTGCCATTGACCAGGATCTCACAGTGGGAGAGCATGGATGGGGAAGCTGTGAGCCAGCTCAGTGTAGTGTTTATGTTGTACAGAGGCATAAAGCCCTCCCTCTCTCAGGCCCAGGTCTTGTCTTGATCTTCACATCTATAGCTTCTGTGATGCGTCTCTGGGAAAAAAGTGGACAGGTCAGGACATTAACAAAGGGTTTTTTTCTCCTGTCTTTGTGGGAACCCATTTGTGATCTCAGCATTCTTTGGGTTTATTCTATTTTGGGGTGTTGGTTTTTTTTCCCATATGCAAGGGAGCAAAACATCTGTTTTCATTAAGGACATCTTGTTCTTCAGATTAGAGAAAATCGCCACGAAAGGGAGAATAAACAAAAAAGGGAGAATAAACAAAAGCTTCCAGAGTAGGAGGCCCATCATGCTCATGGCCCCCCTCAAGCTGCCACTTTGCCCTGACTGAGCACAGTGTGTAGCTGTGGCCCAGCCCCACCAGCTCCCTCACTTTACTCTTCTTCAAAATAAAACATAGTGGCATCCCTGCCTCGTTCTCCCATCCGCTCGCTTTCTTCACACTAGCAGAAGTGAACTTGCCATTCACATTGCCACACAGCCAACAGGAGCAGCACTGTAATTCTGACCAACTTGTTTCTCATCTCCAGCCCAACAACAAATTTTGCTTTATGTGTTTTGACTCAGTACTAGCCTGCTCCTATTGTTCCTCACATTCTTGCATTTCCACCAGACTCTGTGAGTGACAGAAACGCAATTCCTCAATTAGACTGCAAGGGGTGTGCTGGGAATCACAAATCAGCCTAAAGATTTATGCGTTACACCAAATTATCGTAACTGACACAACACTTCCAGCAAGCCAGTTTGGAAATACCAGAATCTCCCCCTGCCCCTCTCCTCCCCCCCTTACATGAGAAGGCCAAATTAGAGAGAGCAAGGATTTCTCATCGCTACCATGAGTCATGCTCACATCGAGCACATGGTGGTGAGGTCAGTGACAAGGGTTACTGGGCTTGGACTATACAGAAAATGGATTCTGCTAAATGACAGAGCAGTGAGAGCAACAAGAAAAAAGAAAAAGGAAAAAAAAAAAAAAAAAAAAAAAAAGAGGAGGAATGCAGAAGCCACCAAGGTTCCTAAACCACAGGCGGAAGGGAAGCAGAGACAGACTCATGCTTCTTGGAAGAATGAATAGAGACAGGTGACATGGGACACTTGGCTCTTTTATTCATCTAACCTTTTGGCCTCTAACATCAGCTGCTTCCCTCCCAGCCATGAAAGTTCACAAAAACAATAAATTCACTTATTGTATTTAGCCTAGGATAGGATTTTTAACCGTATTAGCTCTACTTTTTCTCAGGAATATGCAGCAAGGCATATTTTCAAATAAATAGGCAACTCCTGCCAAGTAGGTGTCATGCATAGTTCCTATTTGAAAGGCAGATACTCAATTTTAGGCACATATTTTAAGTCCTAAGACAGACAATACAATTTAAGCAAACTGTAATTTAGCATGTTGCTTGTATCAGGTCACAACCAATGAAGGATTACTCATGCCAGCAGTCCAACTGTGGTTTGTAGGATGGCATTTATATCATGGAGTCTGTTACAGCAGGTGCTTTTTTCCTTTTCTTTTTTTTTTTTCTTTTCTCCTTTTTTTCCTGTTTTGCTGTTGTTTTTCTAAAACAGGCTCATTTCTTCAGAAAATCAGCTGTATTTGGCACTTATTGTAAGAAATGCTGATTGAAATTCCCAAACTGCTTTAACCACAGAGAAAAAAATCTTCTAATGTTGGTGTTGAAACACAACTTTCAGTTTTAAAGGCTGTGTCCTTTATTTAAAAAAAAAAAAAAAAAAGAAAAAGTTAAATGCTAAAGCAGCAAGCAAGCACACTTTACAGTCTACAGTCTATTGCACCGGGCTCTTTTTCAGTAGGTTGGCTCCTGCCAACAGCAGGTTCAGAACTGCCAGTTCTAATTAAAAACTTAATTTTAAAGATACATTTCACAGTTTATTCATGGCAGTAAGTCCTTCCCACCCTCAGAAATTTAAATTGTTAGATTGAGCAAATGGAAACAGTTTTATAATGATTCCGAAGTAACGGCTTTGGCAAACTGCTTTTGGCAATTCATGATTGATCTCCTATGCCTACTGAAATCAATTTATTCTTTTAGACCAGTCACCTGGAGTGGACTCCCTCAATTGTGTCTATTTCTTTGCTCAGGGTTTGACTGCATTTTATTTTCCTCTGTAATTTTGTATTGCCTCAGCTCAAAAAGGGTCAAAGATTATTCTCATCTCAGGCATTCCAGTGACAAATCCTTTTAGTACTCCCAGTTGTAACGGACAAACAATTGCCATCATAAACTCTATATGAGTACCACTGTGAAATCTATGATTTATAAGCATACTCCGTAGCAAAAACAATTTTGATAGTCCTTGCCTCTCCCTGCTGCGGTAAGCTCTCAGCCCCAGAAATAAAAGTGAAACAGTTTTTTTGCCTTCTAGATTCAGTGTGAAAACATTGGCTTCAACATCAAAGTTCTTTCCAAACACAAACTCTAGAAATGCCACACGTATGGATGTCTAAATTTTGCTGGGGGTTATTTCTGGGCCAGTAAGACACACTGAATTGAGTTTTGAAGGAGCAGACTGTATCATAACCTCTTGACTCGTGTTTACAATTATTGATCCAAAAGCCAGTACGCAGTATAATCATTTGCATCATAAAAGGACAGTAATAGCTACTGCTACAGTACCACTATATACACTTGTTATCTTCTATTGTTTATAAGCTTTTTGGATTAGATATTAAGTGCTCTATTAAGGGAACAGAGACCGTATCTTCATTTTATTATTCAGTTATTTGAGGTTAAAGAAATAATTTTGTCTTCCACACTATGATAATCATTAGGTGTAGTAGGGTATCTTGCAATCAGAATGTCCTCTGAGTAACTTTTATACAATTCATTAGAGCCCCATTTGCTTTCTCACACTGATATAATCACACCTCAATCACTTTGTGAAGTCAAATGTTTGCATTTACCAACAGGTTTTAAAGCACGACAAAGGCTAGAGAGTCCTAAGGAGTTTTGGATTACAGGTGGCTGAAGAACAACCTGAGTCAAGTACGACTGTTAACATTTAAAAGAGCTAGCTGAAAAATATTTAATGCATTTTCAGCTACTTGTAACCCCATTAAGCTGATGGGGAAAAAAAATTCTATCAAAAAAGATTCTATCCAAAGATTCTATCTGACCTGCCAGTTCCTCTGTAGACCTCCAGCAGACACTCCCCAAGTCTCTGGTGGTCAGCAGGCCAAAGTATGAAATTCACTGGAACGCAGAAATGACTTAACACTTTGAGAATCTGAAATTCTTCACACCTGTATTTTTTATTTTTATTTTTTTTTAAATTTTTAAATTTTTTTTTATTTTACAGAAAGAGACAGATCTGGCTTCAATTGAAGACAAAGAAAGAGGTATAATTTTAACTAAGAGACATTCAACTAAACCACCAATACATTCTCTTAATTCAAAGCAGGAATAAGGGGAACATCTCCAAATCCAAAGAATGTATTATATCACCAACTCCTTGTTTTTAAGTGATTCCAAATCATCACAAATATTGTGTAAGAGCAGCTGATTCCCAATATAGATATCCCTTTCTTGGGCACTAAGTCTTGCCAAGACTGGCTAAAAATTTACAAGGAGCGTCTCTGATTGTACTTTAAATAATGGTTATTAGTCATAAGGATTGGCTACCTTTCTTTTCTTTGAAAAGCAGCTATAAATATACCATCATTTATTCATTTCTGAAATCATCACATTCTTCTCCAAAAGCATTATGTTAATTTTCCAAAATTTAGCAGCATGTGTTGTAGGTCGTTTGTTCAGACATATAAGTTTGGGAACATGTATCCTGTCGGATCTTAATTACACAAAGACCATGTTTGCCTAGAAGTTAAACATGTGGATCTTTTCTGTAAATTCCTAAAGGTGGAATTTCCTCCTCTTGATTTAAAACAACTTCAACCTTGAATAAATACAACCTGATTATTACTTTTAGTTTTGCATTGGTCTAGTAATTCCAAAGTCCAATCATTAATTATGACTTCAAGTTATTTAGGGCAGCGTGGACACCTGGAAGAAAATTTTCCCTACACTAAAGTGGTTGTAATGTGAACTCATAATTTAAAATCCATTAAATTCACACATTACCTTACATAACAATCACAATGCCATAAAAGAGCAAACACATGCTTGCAATTAAAGCCATGGCAGTCTCATCCCATTGTATGAAAAATAGCTCTATCATAATGGTCCCGAGTTCATGCCAGAATAGCAGCTAATCATGGGAGAGAGATGATCTAACACTTACAGAACATGAAAATAGAAATACAGCATTCTGGTTCCAGTCTATTTTCTCTAGACTTGCTGGGTGATCCCATGCGTGCTACTTAAGCCTTCAGTCCCTCAATTTACCAATTTGTAGAACAGCAATAACAGCATTTATCTGAGTATCAGAAGAGTTTTGTAAGAATAAATCCATAAATCATTGTCTCTTATTACGTACTTACAACAAGCTTTCTATGGAATATCTATCATAGATATTCTTGAGAAGCATGCACAGGTTACTAATTTTAGGCTCATAATACCTCTAAAAAATAGAGTTATGGGAATATTTTGCTGGAATAAAATGAACTTTCACAGTCAAACCATTTCTATTCCTGTACTATTAGTATTTTACCTCTAATAGGCTATATGGTTCATCACATGCATTTTGTAGGTTTTGGCATTATAGCTTTTTAGCAAATATATATTCAGAACGTCAGACCAAATTTTTCTGCACAAAATCTGTGGAGCAATTTCTTTGATTCTTTATCTACTGTTTTTGTAAGAGATAATAAGTTATTTGTGAATTAAGAGGGCCATAATAATAGAAGAAATTCTGCTAAATGCTGCTGTGGATGATTTTTCATCTGAAAAGAATGGAGGAATAATGGTCAGTAGTGACAGTATGGCTGTGTGCTTGTACCTAGAGGGGAATGCTGGTACCAGGTCACCAAGGTCACCAAGATCAGTCATCCCATTCATTGACAAAATCATTCACAATATGAGAATGAATGAAGTGTCTTGAAAATCTCTCACTCTCTGAGCATGTTTCACAGTTCAGGTCAGAGCCAGTCTATCGGTGGCATACTTTCAGCATGTAATCATCTGTAAAGTCACGTCCTAACAGAGATAATGAGGTCCCATTCATTATTTGCCAAAGCAGTGCAGCAGTTTAAGTCTTGCTTCCCTTACCCTGCGCTGGAAAATTAAGTGCTTGAAATTTGGATTTGATCCTACCTTCACTGAAGTCAATAATAAGACATCACCTGATTTCAAGGGAGCAACAGCAGACTTTTTTTTTAACAGAGACTGCATTAAATTCACTTATCCTTCCCTCACAGAGGGGAAAGCAGGTCATGGGTCTGGTGTCTGCAGCAATAATGAGGAGGCTTTAGAAACTAAATGGGATGTAGCTGATGATTTTAGCACAAATTAAACTGAAGTACTAATGACTTACCAAACATTATTCTTATCTGTTGCACAACCAGCACATGATGATGTCCAGAAATAGTGTAACATCATATTTCAGTCAAAGCCTTGAGGGCTGCTACCCATTCACTCACACCAATATAAATCAGGAGGCAACTTCACCAAAGTAATTGAATTACATAAGACTAAAATTAGCGAGGAGAGAATTAGGCCTGAGGCAGTGAAAGGGAAGAAGGTGTCACCTCTTGCCAGCCCTGTCCGAGAGGAAGGCAGCTCCAACCTGCTGAGAGCCTGTGGCAGCCCTACTGTTGTTCAACCCACAGCAACTTTGCTCAGAGTGAACAAAGCTGGTGGTTTTGGGTCAGAAACACCCTGAGGAGATGGGGCAGTTCCAAGGGAAGTCACAGCAATGACTGGATTCTTGAATTTTACTGCAGTGCCAACACATGTAGGCCAGTTCCAGGCCAAGGTACAGGGCTGCTTGGAGCTAGTTTGTCTCAGCAGGTTGCTGACACACAGGTTGTGGTGGACATCCTGGAGATACTGTCTCTTTTTGACACTTGTCTTATCTCACTGACAAACATAGCTGCCCTCAGCAAAGGGGCACTGGCTGCTTCTGACATGGGCTCCTAATTCCATTTATTTAGTCTAGGGTACTGAGATGAGTTTTGCATATTAACACAGGTTACTCATATACAGTATTATATTCTTGGTGAAAATGCATACTCCTTGGTCCAGGACCAGCTCCTTTCCTTCCCAGGTGTGTTGCATTCCTCACTATGATACTCAACACGCAGTGCATGTGTTGCCCTGTCCTATTCTCCACGTTCTCTGCTGAGCTCCTGCCCCCTTGGCAGAGCGCCCTATAACAGCATCTCATTGCCAGTGGCAGCAGGACAGCAAGGCTGCAGGTGAGCAGCAGGTCCTCTCTGGGACATAACCTAGCTAGGCCAGGGGAGCTCGGCTCAGCACCGACTCAAAAACTGTTCACAGTGCAACTCAGAGGCCAACATAACTATACCCCATTCTCTTCAACAGGTGCTTCTAGCTTCTGAGCTCAGAGAGATTAAAAGTATAATCACCCAGCCCATTTCTAACTTTTTACATGAACCCAGCATCTTGTTCTGTTGAAAGAGCCAAAGTATTTCAAAACAAGTAGCATGCTCAGCAGAAGACACATAACTCAATCTACAATTCCTACATTGCAAATGCTGGTACCTCCATAGCCGCAGGCATCCTCTTTTACATACTAAAACTGAAATTAAAGATGAGCCTTTCCTGTGTCAAAAAATAGCATTTATTATAACGAACAACTCTGGTTTGTAACTCTAAGAGGTTTTTCATATTGTGAGTAAGGTGTTCACTTATGTTATAACTTTAAGCAGCATTTTAGCTGCAAATCAGCATCTTACATGTCTCACAACAAGTAACCAAATTGGAGATGTGAACTAAATCAGTGCTCAACAGTGCTGCAGCCTTATTTTAAATGCCAAACCGCACACAAAAATCTTTACTAGAAAGTAGAAAAGAGTACTGTTTTTCAGTTAGAACATGTCTCTGTGTATAAAGGCAAAATATTATTCACAGCTAGTATTTCAGACAAAATACAAGACTACTGATATTGAAATTATTCTATAGTAATTTAGATTAGGAACAATAGACTTGGCATTTTTCTGTAATACCTTACACCTGAGAAGCTTTAAATAGATTACAATAATTAAGACTGATAACATCATTGTGATCTATGTGTCTCCACTAACAGATGGGTAAACTGAGACTGAAAGTGGTAATTTGTGCCAATCTGTGCCTTACCCAATCAATCAAAGAACAAAACAGCACAGAACTTACGATGCCCTGGCTTTCACTTCACTGGTCAAACTTTTACCAGATCACGTTTCGTGCCAAGAGAACCTCATGCTAACAACCTCATTGTATTTGAGAGCGGGACCCAGAGCTTTCAACTCTACTGTTGCAGTAACACTTCATCACTTGTACTCCTGTATACAATTATTTTTACAGCCAAATAAAATAACTTCAGGAATTCACATATTTTTATCGTATTGTTTTCCAAGCACCTCAATTAAAATACCATTGGAAGTCTTTCTCTCATTTGTCAAGAGTTCCTGTAAGCCTGTTTCCCTTTTATGTGGTACTGGATTATTTACTCTTCATTTTCTACCTGGAACAAGCCCTGACTAGTAACTAGATGGCAAACATGACACGTCCAGAGCCCAGAAACCTGTTCATTAGATTTCACGATTCTTTTGGGTGTTTGGCTTTTTTCCTGATCTTGCATATGTTATCTCCATTTTTTTGCAAATGCCTCAGTCAGTCTGCCTGAGCCAGTCACAGGCAGGATTAGTAAAATTAGGCATCCGCAGATGTTAGGCTACCAAAAATGAATACCAGTGATGTGAAAGTATTTCAGGAGCTTTCATTCAGTGGAGGACTACAGGATTTGGGATGGTGGAGAACCTCCTGCTGCACCTCAGGAGCAGAGGCTACCTAGTAATCCCCTGCTCTGTCCTCAGAGTGGCTGGGGCAGTTTCTGGGCCAGGGCCAAAGCTCAGCTGGGAGGTGTCAGGATATCAGCAGAGGGCAAGTGTTGGGCTACTTCCGCAATGATGCGCAAAAAGGAATGGCAGGATTTATAGGAGTTTGCAGCAGTGTGGCTAATGAGGACAAGAGAAGCCTGATCCATGGAAGTGTTGAGCAACCACAACTCCCTTTTACTTCAGCACTTTTGGAAATCAGACCCTTTGGGGTTATTTGCTTTTTGGAATAAGCCAGTTGTGGTCTACATCAGCCCTCTCTCTTTGGCAGTAATGGCCCAAGCCATTCCTTTGACCAGTGTAATCAGTGTGGCTCCCAATCAAAGAGAGTGACATGAAGTTATTTTTAACATATCAAATACACCAAGAGACTAAGGATCCAGTTTTTGCAAAGTGACTGAAATGCCTCTTCCCTCTTGCTTAACGCATTTCTCTCCCCAGGCTCAGAAGACTGTTGTTTTTGACAAACTAGGCGGGCTGTGCTTGGGAGAAAAGAGTCAGCTAGATTATAAGAAACTGCAGATGAATTGTTTATTTTATCACTCCATTTATCTTTTCAGTGTTATTGTTCTGTCAAGTAATGGAGAGATGAAGAAGAGCTACGTCACAGTTACGCTTTGACTCACAAACCAAGAAAGATGGGAAAGACGGGTGGCTATTTATGCTGCACCCATTACCAACTCTGTCCTTAAGAAGGAGCCTTTGTTCATTCTCCTTCATTTCTGGCTACTCACTAGGAAGGGCCAATGAAATGAAAATTTCCTCCAAGGTGATCTTTGGTATTGTTTTCTCTTTTTGTCCAGTTGGAAAGAAAAATAACCAAGTAGCACAATATAAGGTTTGTTTCCACCTGACTTACAAAATACTGTTGTTTTTTTCCCCTTCTCCAGAAACTTTCTTACTGCCCTACATCATTGCCATGGATTTCTTTGTTGCACTGTGTGGGAAACTCAGCCTCCACCAGCCTGATTCACTTAGGTAAGTACCACATTGCTTATTTGCTTTCCCACGAAGTTTATCAGCTAAGTTTTCATGAGGTGAGAAAAATCACTTGACAGATGCAACCAGGTTGCTTTTCGGGGAAAAAAAAATAAAAATAAAAAATCTAGTTTTCCACAAAAATTTTTCTGGGGCTTATTGACATGAGTTTAAACTTTTCTACAGCAAGGAGACAGAGGGATCTACCCAACCAAATCCAATCATATCTTTCCTTTGTCTGGTTTGGAATACAGATATAGTAACATGGATGCCACATGAACATCTTAGCTGCTGGCTGTTTTGCACTTTCTCTGCCTCTCTCCAAATCTCTTTCCCCATTTTCTGCTAATCTGTACTCTCTCCCCACCTCTCTCCCCACTCTCACCTGCTGCACTGGCCTAGCTCTCTAAGCACAGCTCTTCAAAAAACCCTGACCATCTCTATGGATCTGTAGAGTGATGAGGCAGATCTGGCTGTCAGAGGACTATTTGTCACAGCTACTGAACTTAGTTTGGAGTCAAATTAGTTTATCATATGGAGCTTTATGGATATTTGGAATGGGTTGCCAATCTACCTCAACAAACATTAACTCTCATTTGCTGGGAGCCTGAGGAGATGGTGCCAGTAACATTGCAAGGTTCACAAATACAACACAACTTGTCATAACAAGTTCCTCTGGCAACATCTGTTAGCAGCCCGCAGAACTATGTAGCACTTAAGCCAGATGTAGCCATGATATATTTTTTTGCACTGAGCCGTAGCTGTTCGTACCTCTCCCAGACATCAACATACATTATTTGCTGCTGGCCTCAGAAAACCTCACCATTTCTTTCAGAGAATATTTGCATTTCTCTGGCATTAGTCTATAGTGCCATGCCAGGTACATCTCTGGGAACAGCCTTTTCTGTAGACATCAAACTCAGATTTGTATCAAATTCCTTCAGACACTCCTGTCGATTCTTACCCAGCATCAGAGACTGGTTCCGGACATCATTGCTTCTAAATCAGTGGAGCTAATTTCTTACATGATCTCCTCCCATTTCCACCATCACTGCAAATCCTTAATAGCATTGCAACTAGGTTCACATACTGTATCCAACACTGGGCATGTTGATCTGGCACCACCAGGCAAGACCATATAAATGTAATTTTGGCTTCTGAGCTCATCAGTATAACCATTTCAGTGCCTTATCACTGCTGATAGATTTACAGACACTAATCAAACCTCACTCAAGTAGTGAGGTAATATCAACATGACTAGTCTACCACAAATGTTTGTAAAGAGGGAAGATGGCAGATACAGGAGGAATTCTGTCTGCGTACCATCAGCATCTTGTTGCAAGTCTGAATTCTTTTATGCTTTTGGCATTCTACAACAGCCATGGATGAAAAAGGTAAATGCAAAGACAACTTCTACAGTGAAAATTACTTGTGAATATTTCTTCTGGGAGAAGGGAGCTGTCTATTGAGAGAAAAGAATCAAAGGAAGTTAATGCATGCCACAGATGTGCCATGCCCTTCCTCTAGCTTTAATAAGCTCAGTGGGTTTTTCCACTGCAACAGCAAGGGATTTTCCTGTCAGAGAGTAACAGATATCAGTAGATCTCCCACCATATCTAGACATTGCATCTCTTCCAATTTAAATGCTACATCAGTAGTTATTAAGACTGCATTGCAAAGAAATAAATCTAGGGAAAACCTTCTAGAGGGTGCTCTGGATTCTATTAAAGGATTGAATTTCTCACTATGTTACACTTTTTCCATATGGCTGAAATCTGGAGCTGCATAGTACTGTGAATATGCTCATATACTGCTAGTGGCATAATCCCAGATGGTAACAAATGACCCTGTTCCAACAGCAATGTATAGATCTTTAAGACACTGACATTCAGCCATGCTCTAGGGATATTCCTTCCAAACAATGAATGACTGGCAGATAACAAAGTTTAACTTCTGCCTTCAGTTTTGTACATATTTTATGGCTAACACTGCTGAGTTACATCTTTGTTAAGTACTCAGCCTTGTAATAGTGTACAGATGACATGAGATACTCCCTTACCACCACCAAACAATCTCCTTTGGTCCACGGAGGTCAGCTGTGGAGCAGGCAGTGTGTCGCTGTCTGTGTGTAAGGATATGCTCTGGCATGCTTGAAGTGAGCTGATAACGTCTTACCCCTGCTTAGGCCCTTCAGCTGCCTCTTGGGGAAGTGAGAAAGGCTGCCAAGCTCAAGATGTGCTGCATCCTGCAATTTGGCTTTACTGAGAAGTACAACCCCTCCCCCAAACTCACCCACGCATTTCTTCACCCCAAGAAGAGGTCATCACACAAAAAGGAGATAGGAGGAAAAAAGACTGCACACTTGACTATAGCTGCAAAAGAGAAAAGTCTAGAGCCCTCTTGAGATGTTGTGTAAAGAGAAAGCAATCTGGGCTGTCTCCATTTTTACAGAAAGACCTCTGTGCTCCTGCGGACTTTGTGGCCTGCCAGATGGAGACAGCTCCAAGTAACACTGAGCTCTTATTGCTGCAGAAAACCAAGGAGAACTATAACCCCAAATATTGCAGGTGTAGGAGGGAATGCTTGCTCAGATGATGATTCATGTCAGCATCTGAATAAATAAGGTCAGACAGCCAGAGATTATTCCAGTGAAAGGGAGTTGATTTGTTTGGGGGGCAGAAAGGAGTGGCTTTTTGTTTCATATAATCATAGCAAAAACCTACCCTGATCTGAATTTTTTTCAAGAAGTAGCTCTCATCTATTTTAATTAAGACCTCAGTTCAGCAAAACGTTTAACTGGCTGTAACCTACCTGTACTGGAATTGTTGTACCACATGCAGAAATCCTAAGGTTAGCATATGCATTATAGTCAGATTTAGGTAGCATTTTTATACTTACCCGCAGCAGTTTTAAGGAACATATCACCACTACAGACCATCAGAAAAAAAAACTACTTGCCTGAAAGGGGTGAGAAAGGATTAATTAGTTAGTGCTCGTGCAGCACTGCAAAAACACAAACTGTGGGACTGTGCTATTAGCAGGAAAAAGATGCCAACAGGAAGCAGCATTGTTAAAGGCACGAGGACAAACAATGGCTTTGTTCTCAGATTTGTAAATGATTCTTCTGCTATTGAAAGGTGTTGGCCTTTCAGTCTAGGAGACTGAAATCCTCTTTCTTCACCCAAAAGAGCCTTCACAGGCTGTGCATACTTTCTCACACTCTCTCAGCCGTGTTCTTCACTATTAGCTTATAGATGCTAGACAGTAGTCCATTCTCCACAGCCCTTTTATTGCTTGGCCTCTGCTTCAAGTGCCAAGAAGGGTGCCATTTAGACTCAATTGTTACGGTAGCTTTTACGATCTAGACATGGTGTCTAGGATCAGAGACTTCCTAGCAATTCTGTATATGCTGCTCTGCTGCCATCAGAGGAGAATGGCTCCCGGCTGCCAACCATGTGGGTAGAATTCAAAGCAGTGACCTACAGATGAAAGGCACCCCATCTCCAAATGGGCCAGCTGAGCCATCCAGCCACCAAATCCTTACTGAATGAAACCATATTGGGATGTGATGCTCAGATGGGGAAAGAAAAAGAAAATTTAAAATATCTGTGGACAATGGCTCTCTAGAGCTCAGGCTGCGGACATCCAGACCTCACTTACATAATATTTCTATCATGCACCATCCTCCTGTCCAACTCCCCACCCCATGCCAAGGTGCTGGAGGGAGGTCCTGTTCTTATTTATGCAGCATGAATACAAAATCAGAGAGAGTGGCAGAAACTTTCCATGGAAAGGTATGGTGCCTTTGGCATGCTGAGGAAAACAGCAGAGCAAGAACAGCTTGTAAGTTAGGGGGAAGAGAAGGATTAGAGAAATTTGAATAACTACTTCCAAGCATTTCCTCAAAAAAAGAAAGAAGACTGGAGCCCTTTAAACCCAAGACTCACACAGGAAAAAAAAAAAAAAAAAAAAAAAAAAAAAAAAAAAAAAAAAAAAAAAAACTTCAGCCGAGCAAAACATCCTTTTCGCCTATTTGTTATATTGCTGACTTTGACAAGCAGAATCATTTATTACATCACTGTCCTCAACTCCTGCCACACATATGGTCCCTGCCCTCCCTCCTTGCTAAACAAAGGCCAACCAAGGAAGGTGATTTTGTCACCTGGAGTCAATTTATGCTGGTCTACGCTGTGCTGTGACGCCATGCTGGGGTGGGACCTTTTCAGATGTCGGGATGATAGGAGAAAGAACAATGAAGCAGCAGAGTATGTGTGGCGGGTGGCCGAGTCATCCTATCACCATGTATTTGTGTAGTTTCTTTTAGTGCCATCCAATCTTTCCTTCTGTCCCTAAATGGCCTGTGTTGAAAATGTCCCTGCTTACAGTTGCTCAACTGGAATGAGGACAAATTGTTTGCAGTGGCCCCCTTCCAAATGCTTGTGCTGTAACTTTTGTCTTGACTAGTCTCTGGAGATATCTCTAGAGTGAGTTTCCTATGACTCGTTTGCGCTACCCCAAAGTCATGTCGGGTTTTCTTCCTCTACTCTTTAAACTTTGTAGCAGGAATCTTGTTTCAAACACATCACAGAGAAAGCCAGAGCAGGCAGTGCCTCAATGCAGTTATGTCACAAGTTCTCCAGTGAATTGTAAGTGAGGGGGATGGGTCTCGAGGGTGCATGAGGTTACAAAGTGGTGCTAGCAGGCAAAGGGATGCACAAGCAGAAAAAGCACAGCCACATCAAGCAGCTTTGAGTTATTAAGTACAAGTGTTACTAGGAATGCTTCACCATCACTGCTAATATGTCGTCCACTTTTGTGGGTAAAAAGCCTAGTCCCTGGACCCTCCAGGCTGCATTGATTCAGCTCTGAAGGGGGTGGTGAAGGTACTCTTCCTCTTCATGTTCACATGTGAATTAGTCCAGGATGAGAAGTCAGCAAGAAAATGCTGAAGAACTAAGCCAAGAAAGGAAGCATTTGTAATTCTAAAAACCATTGGATGAAGTTTTGCACATAAACTCATTTAATAGACATTGCAGAATAAAAGGTTCATTTCCCTCCCTCTTACATGGATGAACTATTAGACATACATATATCGATAATATTTGCCTAGGATAACTCAATTCAAAGACCATTGCTCTTGTATTTTTAATGTACATTAAATATTAGTTATTCATCAAAAGTGCAATGTGCTTTTAGAGAGAAAAAAATGGAGTTAATGCTATGATAAGGTGTCCTTCAACTCCCTAAAAGCAGGAAACAAGGCCTTTTGCAGAAGTTGGTCAGAAAATCCCCATAGCGAGGGAGAGCCAGGCCAGGAGATGAGATGTCTGTGATTCCTCATGGAGTACCTGGACATACAAGGTCAAAGAATTATAGAATGGCTTGGGTTGGAAGAGACCTCAAGGATCATCAGGTTCCAACCCCCCTGCCATATGCAGGGCCACCAATCTCCATATCTAATACTAGACCAGGCTGCCCAGGGCCCCATTCAACCTGTCTTTGAACACCTCCAGGGACGGGGCATCCACAGCCTCTCTGGGCAGCTGTTCCAGCACTTCACCACTCTCATAGAATGTTCCCCTGACATCCAACCTATATCTCCCCTTCCCTCAACTTAAAACCATTTCCCCTTGTCCTGCTGTTATCTACATTTTCAAAGAGTTGATTCCTCTCCTGTTTATAGGCTCCCTTTAGGTACTGAAAGGCTGCAATGAAACCACCCTGCAGCCTTCTTTTCTCCAGGCTAAACAAGCTCAGCTCCCTCAGCCTGTCTTCAGAGGGGAGGTGACCCAGCCCTCTAATCATCTTTGCAGCCCTCCTCTGGACCCTCTCCAACAGCTCCGTCTTTCTCGTACTGGGGGCCACAATCTAGAGGCAGTACTCCACATGGGGCCTCACAAGGGAAGAGTAGAGAGGGACAATCACCTCCCTGTCTTTGCTGGCCACTCTTCTGATGAAACCCAGGATACCATTTGCAAAGGTCCATGATGGAGACAAACACAGGTGCCCATAGGTCCCTTTCATTCCATGGCTGGCAGTACCTAGCCAGTACAAAGACCCAGTGCAGGTCCCTCAGCATGAATTTTCCTGGCGCAGCCTTCTCACACTCCCAGGACCTCAGGGGGGTCCTCACACACGACCACCTCAAAGCACCAAAGTGCTTTTTGTTTTGTGACAAATGGGAGTAGGGAGATTAAAAAAAAAAAAAGAACCTCATGGTATTATTGTTTTATAGGTTGTGCACCACATTGCAATTGCGTCCCCCAGACTGTCACCTAACTTCTAGAAAAGTAATCTCTGCAGTAAACCTATCCCTGTATTTCTGAGATGTTATAGGATGGAAGTGAACAGAGCACGGTCAAACTGGGAATTTCAGACAGTAGGGGTTGCTCAGTGTTTCCAGACTTAGCAAATAGGATTTCATGTGACTTTACCATTATTCTGAGGAAATAATAATTTAAAAAAAAAAAAAAAAAAGGCAGAAATTTTATTTTACTTTATTATTTTATTTTTATATAATTTAATTTTTAACCAAAGAAAGCAGAATCACACCATGTCACTGCCTTCAGTTAGTCAGCTGAATGATTGCTTCCAGTGCATTCGGGATCTCACAAACACCAAGACTACTTTGGTTTTCATTAGCACTAGAGGGGAAAAATAAACAGGCTGGGCTCATGGTTTATAATTGCATATGTAATTACCACTTTAAGACCACTATTAGCAATACAAATTAACTCACTGCCCTTTTTATCATCTCTGCAGTGCCTCACAGAGTGCATGTAAGCTGTCTCTTTGGGCAGCCAGATTCTAATTTCAGATGTGTAGAAAACAGCCCAACATACCTCTAAAAATGGTCTTCCCTGTTTGTAAACATAGTGCTCAGCAGTTGGAGCCATCCCTTGGAGTTTGTCATTCAGCTAGAAACAGAATCTGTCCAGGCCACTGTTTGGGCCAAATCCTGCTGGTAAGAATTGTGTACCAGAGTAACTTTTTCAGTTACTCCTAGTTTGCTTTGAGTAGACCAAAGAGCCAGTGGGAAGAGGTCTGCTGACATGAGGAAGGCAGAGCTTGCTCTAAGCATAATCACTTTCTTCCATATAAGTAGTAGGGATGATGAAGAGCATATTGTCAATAAAACACAGAGGTTATTTACAATTCAACTTCTAAAAGCTGCCATAAAGCAGTGAATAGCAACGAATAATTCCAAAGCCATTCTACTTGGTTTTGGTTTCTACTTTATTTTCCCAGAGCTCGTGTTTTCAAAGGGACAAAGCAGAGACACCCAGAGGAAAGGAAGTCTGATTCTAAGAAACTGTAAAAAGAAATGCATGGCCACAGATCAGGGAATAATTTTATGTCTCATATGTTTTCTGGCCCTACGAAGAGCAACTTTAAAATTTTGCTCTCCCCCTCAGAGCAAACTCCATAGTTTACAAAATAAGATTGGGAAGGATCCTGAAAAGGAAAATCCATAACAAACTGTTGGTCACTGAGGCCAGAAGGACCCCTTGCCCACCCCTCTGTGTGTGACAGGATTGATTTAATTATTCTATAACTGTTCCTGTAGATGGGCGTCTGGCCTTGAATAACTCCAACGAGAGCGATTGTCCAACGGCTCTTGGCAGCTTGTCCAACTGCCAAACACTTCTTCCAGAGCTTTGCCTAATATTTAACCTAAAACCTCCCTTCTGCTTCAGCCAATTATTATTTGTCTCATCCTTGTTGACTAATGAGAATAATTGATTCTTGTCCTCTTTATAACATTCCTTTATGTCTCCCGTTATTGTGTTCCCGACACTCTTCTTCCCTTTAGGCTAAAGGTGCCAAGTTATCTTAACCTTTCCTCTTAGATCTGAATGCCAAATTTCTTACTATCTTTCTTACACTCCTCTGAATTCTTTGGTTTTTCCATGTTTCTTCATACAGAATTGAACACAGTCACTCCAGTTATGCTTTAACCAGTGCCAAGCAGAGCGCAATAATTACTTCAGTAACCTTACTGACCCCATCTAATAACAAAGGCAAAATGCAGCATGTAATTAAAATCCAAAAAAAATAACTATTTTTAAAAGCTAATTGCCTTAACAATCAGAACATTCTACAGCTCAGAGAACACACACTAAAGAATTTAAAGGTTATTGTTCATTCAAAACATCTTTTTCAATTATATTCCATATATTGTATTCCAGGCTATGTGCAGTTTTACTCCTATTAGGAACGGTCTGTACTGCGTCTCTCACACTCCCTCCCCCTCTTTATTTCCTGCAGATTTAACCCTAACGGCTCAATGGGACCCTGTCTACACTAGGGATATTTACTGAGGATTTCCCATTGACTGTTGCAAGAACTTTCTCCAGCTCCACCAGTATGGCACAGCACAAAACTTCCACTCAAGGCTTTGAATCCTTTAGGCTATTGCTACTTCTTCCAGTCTTACTAACGTCAGTGAAACAGAGCCAGTAGTGAGGCATTTCTGGAAAGTTTCCTTTACACAGAGATAGTTTTCATCTCCTTGGCCAAGTCTGTAGTAGGCTACCTTCAACAATCCCCTGCTCTCTGTTCACTAGCTAGTCTCTTAAAAGCTCCTCTGTCCCGCAGTGAGCTGCACTCTCTTCACATTCATTGACACTGTACACGTAGTTACATAGCGTTATGAGCACATACAACTGCCTTTCAGTTCTTATCTCTTCAGGAATGGAAATTCTTGTCAAATCCTAGCATAGGTCATGCAACCTTACTACCATTCTGCTGACAGCAGCTATTCTTGGAAATACATGAATTTCTGGAATCCCCAAAACCAAAGAGCTTTGGCTCCATGAACAGGAATGGCAAACTCAAACTGCAAACCCACTTGACTAAGCAGAGGCGTTTAATTAAATCATTTTTCTATTACACTGATAAACAATCAGATATGACTGTTGTCAGTAGATGTAACAGTTTCTATTCTTGTTCCTCCACAGCACCTTAATTAAATTACAATTGTTGTGTTGGAAAACACATCTGTGAGAACCTTCAAGTAGAAAACATCAAAAAATATTCCTAGCAAAAAAGAAATCAATTAATAGTGCAATATTTCTTGGTAGACAGAACAAAAAATAGTTGGATTAAGAGTGCAGTAGAGAAGATTAAGGTTTGACATATGGAATATCTAATAGAGAAGCACTAAAAAAATATTGACTGGGAAAGGAACGGAGTCTACAGTACTGATTATCTTCTAGTACAACTGAAACGCACTGCCTCAGAAGTGATATAGACATAACTGATTCTACCTTGATCCAAACCAAAGACTGAAGATCTGTTGAGAAGCCTTTCAGCTCTGTTTCCCTATGGCACTACTTTGTTGAAAATTTCTAAAGAATGAAGTAAAGTCCTGTTCTCATTTACATGCATTTGAGCCTCTTATATTCCATAAAGGTTTCATATTTACAAGTGAGATCAGAATTTGGCTCCTTATAATAACACATTGTAAAGAGCCAGAAATTTCTCTAGAAAAACAGAAAAGCAAAGTTCTGTGTTGTATACGTCTCACCCCTTAACCAATACATATCATAGATGGCAAAATAATCACTGTTTTTTATGGCAAGATCTTGTTCAAGCATGTGTCTGCATAAAACTCCCTCATATATCTAAGTAGAGTAACACGTCTGTACATCCTCCACTTAGAACAGAGGTGGCTCTGGAGATCCAAACAAAATCAAATACTACCTGCAAATATATAGTGCACAACCAGGCATTGGTTGGAGTCCAGGCAAACACGAATTTACAAGAGAAAATGCGACTGCATGGCTCTTTGGCAGTTTCGTATGTTCTTTCTTCCTTATTACAGTGCTCTAGAGAGTAATTAAATTTCATAGCTCAGCATTTCCTTTTCTTCCTTACCTTGAAAGATTTGCACACATTTTTATAACCAGATTAAAAATTTGCCAACTGGCTTTTTGAACAATTCTCAGTGCTTTCAGAATAGTTGTTCATAAAATCTTACATAAGATTCCATTTCAGGGACTGACTCCTTTCCCAAGTAAGTAAAGCTCTACCTTCTCAGAAGCAGAAAGGTACTGATTAAAACATGTTAGGGTACAAAATCTCCTTTGTATGACACTAGCAAATTCTGCAGTAAGACTCAAAGCCTGTTTAGGTCAGTTAGAGGCTTGCCATTAACAAAGTGAGTTTTGGGACAGGTCCTTAAAGGACAGGAAAGCCGCCATGCACACCACAGTTCTTAGGGAAATCACTGAGGTCACCAGAGGTTTATTGACTTCAGCAGATCACTGAGGTCAACAGATGCTCAAAGGAACAAAAATTTGCACTGATCCAAAGCTATCAGAGAAATGAGTAAGATGATGGGAAGACTGAAAAGAGCATGTCTTGCCCACATGTCATTCATCTGCTGGCTGCCAGTGCTGCAGCAACTGGAAAAGCCAATCAGGCATCCTGGCTGAGCCGTGCTGTGCTTTACAAGTGACTAAAGAAGTCAGCACTCCCACATCCTGTAGAAACGGTTGCATGATGTGGTTACTACTTTTAAAATAAATTTAAGATTCCATCCCCTAATTCACACAAAAGCTAACTAACAAAAATAGGGTTTTTTGTGTGTTTTTTTTTCTTTTTTTTTTTTTTTTAAATGATGTACAATGTACAAATTAGTATTATAAAATAAATTAAGTAAATATTTCCCTTGGCAAGGAAATATAAAATAGCTCATTCTCTTAACATGCAAGTTTTATGTTTACAAAGCATACAGCATCCCACATTTCCATAATGTGTTAGTAGCAGGAAACATTTTTAGCTCCGATGACTTAAACAAAGCTGGAGTTAGCGTCTGCAGCACCCTTAAGCTATATGTCACAGTCTTCACAGTACTGAAACAAAACACAGGGCAGTAACCACATTAAGGTTTAGTGTTTAGAAACACAGAAGGTTTAACACTTGGCAAGCCAGAATTCCCCTATGACCTAAAGACATAGAGATCGTGACCTGAGAATTAAGCACTGTGTTAAGCGGCCAAGCTGTCTCCCTAAAGAAAAGACAAAAATAGCAAAAGACAAGCTGAGCCATGGGGCTGGCATATGTCAGGTGTGCCCAGGCCCAACTCACAGAAGATCTGTGGCCGCATGGGGACAACCCTGACCTAGTCCAGCCTTTCCAGGCAGGGCTTCCTAAGTAGGAGGATTTTCAGGGGTGCTCAACACTCGTTGTCCCCACTGCCCTCTGAGGGAATGGGAGCTTTAAGCTAACATGCTGCCAGGACACCAGAAGAAAAAAAATTCACTTTTCTCCAACTGGAATTGGAAAGATTCCAGCATTAGATGGAGGAAAAGAGAGAAAGTTAAATGACTACTCTGCGTATTTCCTCTCACCGTCCCTCCCTTTCTCTAAGGGCTCCTCCTTTGCAGGTGCCACAGTCCTGGTGATAGAGGAAAAAGAGGAGGAGAAGAGGAAATTCAAAAAATGAAGTGAAGTTCTTGAATTAAATGTTTAAAGATAGGTCTTTGTTTAAAGTAAGGCCTGCAAGGCAGAGAAGTTGGTTTGCGAAAGAGGAAGGTCAGCAGAGAGGCAACTCCAAACATCAGAGATGAAGAGGAGGCATGCAGTGAAAAGAGGGGAGTGTGAAACAGCTGCCTGGGGGAGCTTAAAAGGGATGCTCAGCATGCTCAAAACACTCTAATTTTGCCACGGCAGATCTTCTTGTGCCAAATTCCCACACAGAAAAATCCCAAGGACATCAAACTGACCTGGGTATCATTGATTTTACTTCTCTTGCTTTCTTTCTTCACTGCAAGCCAGATTTAGCTTGTAAACAGGTTTTCTTTTTTCGAGTATATATTTTATTCTTTATAAGATATTTTTAATAGTTGGTCAATATGAAGTTTCCCCTTGAAGTTACTACACAGTTCCTGCTGGATTAAAACTGGATATTTCTACATTTATTGGTAAATTGCCAAATGCTGTTACAAGGAACACTCAATTGTAATGAACTTTCAGTCAGGGTCCCAGGGTGCTCATCAGAGAGATGTACGTGTGTATATATATATATATATATATATATATATATTTTAAATTAGGCAACAGAAGAATCCCGTGCTGCACAGGATCTGCTTTAAAAGCAGAATTTCCAATCTGGAGGGAATTCTTATATATTTCAACTTTAATTTCCGTCCTAAAACAGGCCAAGAAATCAAAATATCAATGAAATAAATTGGTGGAACTCAAAGTTCAGAATAATTTAGGTTTGGAAATGTATATAAACTAAATGCTGATGCTTTCAATTGAAAATATAATGGTCCCAGGTTGAAAAGTCCTGGAATATGATCCTCATCTTACATGGATAGAAATCAAGAATAATTCTGCTAGAAGTCCATGAAGTTACACTGCTGTAAGCCTTCACATGGGTAATAAAAATACTCAGAGTTACAAGTACTTTGTAAAGCCAAGTACTTTGGAAAGTGCAACTCTTTCAAGTTTCAGGGCACAAAGCAACTTCGGAATTAGGAGGAAAGTTTCACGGCTCATCCCCAATGCTCCAGCACTGAAGGCCAGGCAGCCACAGCCTCACAGGGGCCATGGGGAGCGTGGCTGATGGCTGCTCAGGCTAAACGTGGGAGCAGCTATGGTCTCTTTTATTTAGCAGAAGCTGGAAACCTGCCCCCAGTTGCAAATGGGATAGTAGACACAGCTCGGGGCAGGGTCCAAGCTGTCTACTGGGCTCTTCACGTAGCTGGTAGACCCAGGCAGAAGGCAGCAGTCTGCTCTGCAGTGTCCTGTGCACGCAGAAAAGTAGTGGTAAATACTGGCTGGCAGAGGTAGCTCTGGCAACAAAGCCCCAAAGAAAGCAGAGACAAACTGTCTGTGCACTGTGCTGAACACAGAGGGCTTGGACATGTGAGCAGAGAAACTCTCTCTGGATGCTTGACTCCCCTTTGGGATCCAGGAAACAAGAATTTAGATATATTCATTGTGAGAGATATGAAGTGCCGCCAAAGAAGGATGCCATTCCACTATCAGCTGCTTCTTTTACTAAAGACAATTCAAAAGCCTCCTCCTGCTTGGTGGATTTTTTTTTTTTCCTATTTGTTTTTTAAACAAGATTCTTTCAAAAGGCTATAGCCTTCAGGCCGCAAGCTAATCTTTAACTACCCACTTAATTTTTCTGAGCCATCTGGCATCAACCATTGTTGGAAGCAGTTGCTTTGTTAAAAAAAAAAAAAAAACAAAACACATGGATGTTCCCCTGCAGAGTTGTTTCCACAGTATACTTGGGGATTGCTGGAGCTCTGGTTAAGGCAAGCAGCCATCTGCATCAGCAGAGAACCGATGCCACCAAAATCACCAGCTGGTTTAACCTCTCTGAATATGACTACAGCTGGTGTTCGTAGAGCCTTCTGAAGGCCCGGTCTGCAGGCACTTATTTAGGGTCCTCACTCAGGGATTAATTCATGGATCTTATTTGAGATCACAATCGGATCATTTGAAATATGCTAATGGCTAAGTGTTAGACCAGAAAATAAGAGGAAAAATTTGGGGAAATTAAATTTTAGATTTTTTTGCTAAGGAATTTAAAAAAATGAAAACCCAATAGTGAAAGAACAAACACTGCATTTTCCATAGAAGCTAACATACCAGTCCAAGCAAGAATGCAGAAACCAACAAACCAATAATTTTCAAGATAATTTCAGAACCAAGCTGAAACAAGTAGCCAAGCACCTTGAAGAAAGCAGTTTTGAAGTGATCTGCCCCTTACTAATCTCTATCAGTCACCATCTGAGCGAGAGAACACAGAGGAAGGGTCAGTCAAAATTCCCATGCATTGTTCATTCCTGCCTCATTTCCAGCAGCCAGCTTCCTGATCTGTCCCCATCCTACAGCGTCCTCCAGCCCACACAGCAATTGCTGTAAAGTCAAGCACAGTAACACAACAACTTCAAAGACATTAAATGTTGTTGTTATCTCCCACAAAATATGGCCAGCTTTTTCCACACAATTCTACCAAAACTTCACAAATCTCAGTCTAGTGTCTCAACTATAATATTATTTCTCCTGCCTAGAATAGGAAATAGCATCCATTTCAGGAATTGTTGAGAACGCTGAAAAATCCAGAACTAACAAAATGTAATGTAATCAGAACCAAAAGAAAAAAAAAAATTCCAACTTCACAAACCAGCTGATTGGAGCCAAAATTCAAGGCAATGATATTTACTGAAGAAAGGGAAAGTCTGACCTAATCTCACCCAAAACTTAACCACAGTGTCTGGACTCAGCAGGGTCAGGTTATTTTCCCATAGTATCAACACTGCATCTGGAACTGGGAGGAATCATGACTGTCAAAGATGGCACTAATTTTCATTCCATTTTCAGTACAACTTTCACATCAAAGTAATCATTACACTTCAAT